AGCGCGCCCCCACGAGGGTAGATTTCTTGCGTTCATGACGTAGCGCTTCATGTACGCATTTTGTGCAGTCCGGAGCTGACAGGTCCATGGAGCCTGCCTGCAGGCGATAATCTCAGGACACCTCCACTCTCAGTCAGAGTCCTGCATCGGGTCGGGTACCCGGTGACACGCAAAAAAGGTGATTCGCAGGTGGTATTTTTTCAAACACTTTTTCTGGGTAAAACAAAGATGATGCGGGTCGGGTCACGGGTGTTGCATAATAAATATATTTAAATANTGCCACTTTCCGAACAGGAAATGCACGCAAATACAAGCCTTTATATTATTAAGGTACAGCGCCACTTTCCGAACCGTTAATGAATGCTTGTGTACACAAAAACGGCAGGCAAAACCGTTTTAAATGTGTGTTTCCTGTATGGCGAATACAGCTGCTTTATTTATGTCTGTATGAAGTTGTTGTGAGTGTGGAGGGAGCAGCTACAGGTTAGCTTAGCCTAATCGATCAGTGCACTACGAAGCCAGTGCTAGACAGTGAACTGTCAACGGGGGGAGCCCCGCCGGTCATTATCGGCCGATATTCACTCTAAATAGTTTGATCGGTGCTCTCTATAAAGGCCGATCAGGAGAGCTGGATCTGATCGATATGGACATAAACGAAAGTGAAGTATAACCGGACCGGACGCGAGAGAGAGATCAGATCAGCTGCTGAGTCTGACGGAGACACGCAGCTCTGCATGATCACCTGAAGCTCCGCCCTCTGTTTAGCGAGTTTACCGGACTGCGCAAAATGCGTATATGAAGTAAAGCTTAGGCTCACATGAGCTTTACCTTTGGAGTGTGTTGTTATGTGTTTCTATAGCTCATGTGGGTTCTGTTTTTCCCTGGTTTTTGGTTTCCACCCCACAGTCCTCCTCCTTTCTACAAAAAACAACAGGCTCCATCTTTTGCTAAATGATCATTACAAATGATCATGTCATTGGCTTATTCATACAACTGCGTTATATTGCAACTTTGCTGTTATTATTTTTGCTTTTTATAATGATATTATAAACAAGTTTGTATTCACTTCAGGTGTTTTCAACCTAGACCTATTTGTATGTATTATATATTTATATAAGTTTGACTCACTCTGCTGTTCAGCTTTTAGAAACACTATGTTTTGCCCAAGACCATAATAAAGTATTCCAGGTGTATGACCAAATGCTAGAAGTGAACCTGTGTTCACTTAAAGGGACAGTTTGGGAAATGCTGAAACAACTCAAAACAGCAGCCATTACAACGTGGGACTGCATCTGTGTCATCTGATGCCCTTTAGTTAAGTCCTGCACAAGCACAAAAGCACCAGACTATGCATTTTGACTTAGGACGAGATACGGATATTTACTCTGTGTTTCAGTATTGTGTAACTTCAAAGGATTTGTGTTCATGCGTTTTCTTTTCCTTTCAGGTAAATATGCAGTAGTTGCGAAAATACTCCCACATCTGGCACAGAAAATTTATTAATTGTGTACCAGCAGACATGAGTTTCAATCCAGTAAGTCAGTAACGCATTTGGATACCCATCATTAGCTCAGTATCAAAAACATTGAGGTTCTTCCTTTCAACTGTTGCTAAGTAGCAATATCGTAACATGAAATATTGAAGATTGTATAGGGCTCTTTTCTAGTCTGAGTGTCCTCACAGTCCCAATAGCGCATAGGACCCGCTGTGTGCTGGACAGTCCCAAGTTCCCAACAGTTCCCTTTGAAAAGTGCTATGCTCTGCTTTTTATCTGAGGGGGCGAGCCATCTGCCAATCCAGTGAATTAGGCTGTGTTCAGCATAAAGCCTTTTATCCTGTAAGAGTGAAGCATTGTGAAAACATGTCCATTAAAGCTAAACTCTCACCTTTTTGTCACTTTTGTTTCTGTGCTCAGCATTAGCTGCATTAATGGATTATGAAAACTGGTAACTGTTCCACCTCATTCCAATGGTAATATTTTTCATCCGGCACATGACCCCAAAACGTTTTCTCTTCCTGACCTGTCTCTGTGCTGTGAGTCCACTGCCAATGATCACAAGTGAGCCTGCAGACCTGTAGTTTAAATCCATCCATCTGAATCAAAGCATGAAAGCCTGGAACAAATGAGGACTTAATCCACTTTCCCCGGAGAACAATGAGCCTGTTCTGACTGGTGCATCAGAGAATTTCTTGTTCTTAGAACAACTGAAACTCACTGTGTAATGCGGGTCTAATGTAAGAGCTGAATACACAGCCATCATACCATCAGCTGACCAGGTACTGATACACACACACACACACACACACACACACACACACACACACACACACACACACACTCTCTTTCTCTCACACACAGACACACACACTCAATTCTATTCAATAGCTTTATTAGCATGACCATATTTACTTACAGTATTGCCAAAGCTCTGTATAGTTGTAACATCTATACAAAATAGACCCTCCAGAAAAACGCGGGCTAAAATCCTTGATCATGCGATTAACCATGCAGGGTCTGTATGTGATTTTATGCGGTGAAATTGNGGGGCTGTCCGGGGCTAAGCCCTGGCACATAGGACGATGCTCTGACGTCATCACCCTCACACATTTGTCATATGTTTACAAAAAACGATATATATGTTAAGACTTTTCTCGTTCTTAATATAGACTATATTAGGGTCGATATGTGTTGACTTTACTTTAAAATAGCAGATCTCTGTGACCGGATATAGTTTGGCTTAGACCCCGGCCCCACCAGGACGCATACGGTAAAACGCATACGCAAACGCAAAAAAGTCTTCCGTTCACACGCATTCGATTCATTAACGTGTCCGTTCACACTAGACCGCTGGAAATGCTGGAAACGCTGTAGTACATATGCCAGGCCTGTAAGTGGCGCTGCTGCCGCCACAAAATACACCAAAAGCAGCGAAGAAGACCCCGGAGCATGGTTGCCATGGTTGCCCTTCTGTCTATTCTCCGCGGTGGACGACGTGTTCTCCTGCTGTATATCTCTCAGGTAGTCCACCAGCAGATGAAAAAGCCCACCTCTCCGCCTCTTCCAAGGGACGAGGGAACCATGCGGCAGAGTTTCCGTTAAAAAAAATGTTCCGCCGGTCAACATGTCTGTTAAAGTTTAAATCTTCCGTACAAAATTAGAAAAGTGCCGATCAGAGGTCTTCCTTGTTATTTATTGAGCTTTAAAACTAATTTATAACGACTCTGTTCTCTGTATAATAATATTTAATAAACGGTGCCTGCCTCTCTTTTCCTCCCCCTCTTCTGACAGCCCAGCAGCAGCAGGAGACGTGGCGAGAGGGAGGCGGGCTATTTCATCATTATCAGAAAATGATCATATTACACACGGAGCCGTTGGACCCCCAGAGCGTTGGTATGCCGGTCTACCCACCTTGGGACCCCCCCCCCCACACGAGCGGAGCAAGGCAACGAAACTTAAAATAAGAAGCAGCATTTTACGGCGCGATATGCATGGGGCCGCCTTGAGGGGGTTTCCCGACATGTCGTTTCAGTAAATTAAAGGGTGTTTCATGTTGTCGTTGCTGTGGGACTTCTTAATACCTTGGAAAATGCCGTTTAATACTTTTTAATAGCCTTAATTTTCGCTAAATTGATTTATCAACTTTTAATACTTTTTAAGACCCCGCGGACACCCTGTTACCGGACTGCGCAAAATGCGTATATGAAGTGTCATGAACAAGAAATCATACCCTCGTGGGGGCGCGCTCATGTGATTGGCTTAGAGAGGAGGAGATATCTGATTGGCTATAGATGAGAGAAATTACAAGTACGAATTGGGTGAGCGTCAGGGGAGTCTCAAAAAACCCACACACGAATGCACAGCGATCCGTGCACAGAAAGCGGTTTGTGTTTGCAGGTTCAGGGGATTTAAACGGAAAACAAATATGTGTGGATCAAAAATACATATGTAAAACTCTGTTCTGTTTTTGGATTTTATTTACATGTATATGAAACGGAACACATTTGTGTGTGCATTGAAAAACATAAGTGTGAATCCTTTTGCGGATCATGAAATACAAGTGTGAATCCTTCTGTGTGCATTATGAGACTGTTCTGAGCCCATACCAGAAAGCCTTTATTTTATGTTCAATTTGGTTACATCACTTCATCGATGGTTTTAAAATGTGGGCTGTATTAAAAGAATAACGCTAAAAATGATATTAAAGAATCACTTATCAACTTTGGATACCTCAGTCAAGTTTATTTCATAGTCTACAGGGGTGTCAAAATCAAATACACAGCGGGCCAAAATTAAAAAGTCGGTACTAGTCGAGGGCCGGACTGGTTCAATAATTATTGCAAAACTTATTGAAATGAACTTATTGCACATATTAAACCTGGAACTAACAAAGCTTAAATTATTGCGTATAAAAACAACATTACAAATCAAATAATCAGTTGCATTAATTTCAGAGAGCAATATACCGGCGGGCCAGATCTAATAGTAATTAGAAATTATCCTGCGGGCCGAAATGAAATCCACCACGGGCCTGATCTGGCCCCGGGCCTTGAGTTTGACCCATGTGGTCTAGGCCAGTCAGTTCTCCTCTTTTACGGTGAAACACTACATCTAAAGCAAGTTGTAGCCCTTTATATTTACTGTCTATGTGGAATCCACAAAGAACGCTTGAAGAGTTAAGTCATTAACTTTACCATTTAGGATTAGCTTGCTTTCAGGCCAGTGACCTTCATCCCCTAGTTCAGACTGATGCTGCTTGCTAATTGTTACCAAATGATAGCTAAAACTCCGCACATGCAGGGTACCGAAACAATTGCATTTTCAAAAAGTTTACCCATCCAGGGTTTTGGATACGATAAACCAAACGACTCCAGAAGAATGGAATTTATTTTGTAACCGGCCTTAGCGTTATAGAAATAAGTCAGGTGGGATCCAGCACTATGCTAACGAGCATGGTGTTAGCCAATTTTAAGCTAATGTTAACTTTGCACGTTTCTCTCACCTGGTCTCTTTCGACGACGCTTCATCCAACTTTCTTTCAACCACTTCCTCCGTGAGTTTAATGTTAGCAAACGTCGCTCCTGAGGTGAACCAATCCGAAATTTGTTCTGCGGTGAATACTTTCTTCATTTTGCAGGTGTCTAGTTATTGCATATTTCTATTGAGTCTCTCCAAAATTCACCTGCTTCCCTGCTGCCCGCGAGATTAGGGCGCGTGAGGATTGGAACGTGAGGAATATGTTCCACACATCGCCTCCTGGCGGTTGCACTGCAAATTGAAAATTATATGAAAACTACAATGCTAAAATGTTTTTAAATGTATAAAATAAAAATAAATCATAATAAAATACTTGGAAAAGTTCCAATTTGCTTAAAAAGTACTATCACTGTTGTTACATCAAGTACATGTAATTGATAAAAACAGTACTTTATATTTTTCTGAAAGGGGTCCTTGTGCAGAATGAGTACCTTTTGTGCTTTAAGTATATTTTGATTCTAATTATTTTGTTCTTTTACTAAAGTAGAATTTTTATCACGACTTTTACTTGTAGTACTTATTTGAACACTGGGTAGGAGTATAAAAAATATAAGAGTAAATGGTAAATGGACTGTACTTATATAGCGCTTTATCCAGTCTTTAAGACCCCTCAAAGCGCTTTTACATACTACATGTCATTCACCCATTCACACCCATTCATACAGAGCAGTGTACCTTACTCTAGGACCTAACATTCACACACATTCACACACCGTTCGCCATGCCATCGGGAGCAACTCAGGGTTAAGTATCTTGCCCAAGGATACATCGACATGTTGACTGCATGGGCTGGGATCGAACCCACAACCTTCTGGTTGAAAGACGACCACACTCCCTCACAGCCACAGTCGCCCTAGTAAAAGTCCTGCATTCAAAATGTTGCTAAAGCAGGTAATAGCAACAGAATCGAAGGAAATTAACTCATAGCTGCTCTCTTTCTACCAAAGTACAGTACTTCAGTAAATATACTTTCCATCACTGCTAACGTATACATGTAAAACAGTCTATAACAGTTCAGGAAATAATACTACAAGATCTGAATACAATTGTTTTAATTATAGCATTACAATTGAAGGACAAGTTTATTATGCTAAAAAAAAACTATGCATATATAGCTCAGTGTGATGGTAAAAAAATACAACCAACCATATAGGCTACCATGGATACAAATCAGGTCACTCGAATCACAGTACAAGACATACGCACCTAAAAATGATAAAAACACAAATGTCCAGTTTTCACATTGACACTAAATTCAGCATTGTTGTAATTTCAATATAGTCGGAGAAGCGTGTCTAAGTGTAATAATTGACATCCATAGAAACCTACGGGGACAGAGGGAGCTTGAATAATTGAAGTTTTGTCACAGTTGATATGTCCATGCTACTGTAACAGCAGATCAATGAAATTAAAAAATGTACAGTAGGCCTCCAGGCAAAAGAAAAAAGGGGTGAACTAATATGAAATAATTTCATGAGCAAAGTTACAATTGCATATTCCCTGAGTGAAACAGAAAACATGAATTTAAAAATGTTTTGTACCCGAAACCATTAAAACCAAAACATTTTACAGGTAAAGATGCTAAATCCTGTAATTTTAAACAATAAATGAACCAGGGATTTAGGTTATCTCCAGTGGCAGACATCCACCGTTGTCCCGCATTAACATCATCTCCGTTTTGAGTTTTTCATTTTCCTTAAAAACAAAAGAAACATAAAGAACATTTATTAATGTGGTGTTTTAACCAAAAATCAAAACATTATTTGATGACAGCAGACATGTTTTTACCTCTTGAAGTTTGGTGTTGTCCTTCTTCAGATTCACCAGATATTCAATCCTCTGTTTGTGGTTCTTATGTCCGACAAGTTTTCCATTCTCCTCTGACAGCTTGACATTCTGCTTACGGAGAAGCTCATTCTCCTGTAAAATAAATAATGGTAATGTTAGAGAATTGTTTTCCCAATTTTCCCTTGTAAGAGTTGGTGAGGTCCTGATAATTTATTCCGGGAAATTACTCTGACCTACTAATTGACCTAACCGAAGTTATTGAGTCTATGTAAGTTTACTGGTTGGCTCAGATCCACCAACGTCAGCAAGATCTCACCTCTATTAACTCCCCGAAGAACCAGGTTCAATGAACTGCTATTTCAATTCAGACAACTCTCTTAAATCTGTTTAAGCGATCCCGAAGGATTTTGATATCAGTAAATGAGGTGTGGCGCATACCTAAGTGTGAGTGTGGCAGGGTGCAATCTTACCTTTGAAGCAGGAGAGGAGTGCGCAGATGTCTTTTAAGTTGTCCCAGTCCAAAAGGTTGGATCAATTTATTTGAAGAAAAATAGGTCCAAACTAATACAGGGTTTTTACCTTCTCTCTTTACAACATTATAATCATACTAAACATATCATGCTGGGGTCATTTTCTAATCTAAAAACTTAATTCATAGTTTTACATTTATTACCAACATTGTAATTTCAACTGCCCAATTCAGTTGTGACATTTAAAATCTCCCGGTAGAATTTAGAGGCATTTCCTCATAAAAAGACCGGTGATAATAAAAAGCACATTCAACTTTTCATTCACCAAATCAATTCACATCAATTCCATATATTTTTTACGACACAGATGGCGGGTACTAACATCCTCAAACACATCTCCCGCAGGTATTCGAGGAAGATCCTCACAGGTGGCGGTTACTAATACTCACAAACACGCTCCTATCCGACACAGATGGCGGGTACTAATACTCACAAACACACCAAAAAAGAAAGTTCCTCCCGCATCCGCGGCCAGTTCCTTTATGCTCAAAAACAGGATAGAAAAACCTAAGACAACTCCCTCCACACGCCATATTTGTGGAAACTTGGGCATGGCTCTGATTAAGCTGGACATGACCAGGACATATTCTATGGCAGGGTCGGCACCCGCTGGCACGCGGCACCCGTATACGCAGATGCGGCACTAGGATAAGTGGAATAAGTGTGCAAAACATAACATTTTATTTCGGATCCTGAACGAGAACGCGCCGGCCCAGGGGGGACGGGGGAAAAAGTGGGCCGCGGGGATTAATTGAACAGACAAAGCCCACTTAATAGCGGCGGGCCCATGTATTCGGCCGCCGGCTACGAAAGTATGTTACTTACAAAAAAACGCCTATGCATTTAGTTATTTGTGGACAATTATTCCCCATATAGTAATCACATTACCGTGAGCCCTTGAGTTGCCTAGATCAAAATGTAACAGGCATATATTTAGTGATTTTAATGTTATACCGATCATTGATGCAATAAACATTTGGACCCATTTGCCTGACTTGAAAATGGAATAAAACATTGGGCTTAGGAAACATCCTCATGTGGGTGAGACAAAAGATATTTTTTTTAAAATGTTGAAGTAAATGCAATCAATCTAGTGCCTTTGAGAGCAAAAACATTAGGGACTGAAATCATGGGGCCATCAGTAATGTGCTTGGACTGTAAAGTCGTACGTCGTCGGTTAAGTCCCCGACGCGAGACCTACATTTGGACTTTGGAACTTCTAGAGCTTGTGGATAGCGTCCCGTTCAGCCTCTCTGCCTGGCCGTGGTGCCCTTGAGATAGGCCACCGGAAACATCCCCCTTCCGCCTCACTCCCATTGCTCCCCGGGCAGCTGTACAATAGCTGCCCCACTGCTCCTATTTAAAAAACAACAAGAAGTACTAGTCCCTGGTACTACGATGTGGTTAAATGGGCAGAGAACACTGCATGTCACTGTGTGTGGCTGTGGTGCTCTGCATGAGTGACGCAGTGAAAGGTTTTCAATCCCGCTCCAATTCTGCTTCACACCCATATAAGAACAGACTGTAAACAGATTTACTTTTTCTTTTCAACATTTATTAACAGCAAGTGGAGGCAAAAGTGACTGCAGCCCAAAACAATCAAACCGTGCTAGCTAACTAGGGCTCTAAAAACTCAGGTAACAGAATTGTGGGCAACACGTTGTTCCCACAGGGACCTCTGAATCAGAGCGCAGGCTTCCTCCTACAGCCTTACAGACCCTCTCCCTGAACCCTGTTCCCTGCCACCCCAAGTTTACAGCACATCCTATTTATCAGGTGACATTCAAATGAATATAATCAGAAATACGGCTGTATTGAAACTTTCTGGCTATAACAAGTTTTACTTTTACTAGTTATACATAGTATTTATTCTTCCTGTCGGTCCTCATTACTGGACAGTGAGGCTGCATGCGATTACTGACAGGCTGTCAGGAGGAGAGGGGGAGAGAGGAAAAATGAGTGGGCTACCGCTCTTTCTCCCGTGGTTATTATCCCCAAGTCTAATGTAAACTTGAATAATGTACATTCATTTGAATGTAACAATTTGTTGGTTGTTGTTTGTGGAAGCGGCCAGTGATGATGACCCCATTACACTGAGTTTAAACATAACTTTAATGGAAGATGCCCGCATGGCCGGCCACCGCCACGTCGATCCGATCAGAGCATCCCTGAGCAGTCCACACACTGCTTCTCGCAGCGAGGCTCCCCCCGCCGTCCTGTTGACAGTTCACGAGCGTCGAAGCTCTTCTTGCTTCACTTTCATTGTGGGTTATAATAAGATATAATTGATTATATTTGATTAAACCTAACTTTCGTTTTAAGTATTCACTTGATACTATGAAGTCTCAACACGCCTCTTTTTAAAACGCAAAGTATCAACACAGCAGCCAGATCAAGTCGTAAAGCATCATACATATTCAAAAACATCAAGAAGCCATTTTCATTGTGGGATTTAAAAGAATATGAATTGATCATATTTGATTATAACTAAGCTTTCGTTTGCAGTATTCCTTGATAGCTTGAAGATCTCAAGCAGGCACGCATCATTACTATGACATAAGAGGATGCCGTAAAATGTTCTGATAATAACTGCATAGCTTTTACTTAAACAAGGTTGATTAGGGCTGTGGGCAATTAATCGTATTTTAATCTCTAATTACGATTTTGGCCCTAGCAACCGATTATGAAAACCAACGTAATCTGGGAAAAAAACACGATTATTTTGCTGGCATTCCTTGATCGCAATGAAGCTCTCAATGTGTCTTGCGTTTACATCCTGCCCCACCTCCCTCCCCCTCCCCTAAAAAGCCCTCAGGCAGCGTTGTGTTGTGACTTGCAGTCTGTTTATAAATCCATATAACACGTCACAGAGGGAAGCTTTGTTGCTCCGGTCCTAGCGTACAGTCAACTTTGACTAACCATCATATTCAACCCAGAAATAATCGTGATTTATGATTTTTTTCCCATGTCGAGAGGGCAGCCCTAGTTTGAATGGGCAGGATTTTAATTTGTAACACAGTATTTTCATTCTATAAAGTAGCGTAGTGGCAGGGCCATTCTATTGGTGGCCCACGGCAATAATGCCGTCCCTGGGGTGAATATTTTGCTGCCCTTTGAGTATAATTTTAAAAAGTAATCTACTTTTTTTAAACAGTTTTTTTTTGTTGGGCCAGCAGTGGCCTTTATTCCAGAGAGGGTGTTAAATGAGAGATAGAGGGGAGACACTTGGGCGTGAAAACTTGGGGCGGGTTCGGGTTCGTACCCACCTAATAGCTACTGTAGTGACAACTCGTGTCATTTATTCTATCTCTGGCGTGAATGATTAGATCAAATTTCACTTAAATTAAATGATGTTGATGTAAATTAGCTTCACTTCGTAGGTCTACTGAGTTCTGACTTGGCCCCAATTTACATTCATTAGCATTGGGCATTTAGCTGACGCTTTTATCCAAGCGACTTACAATAAGTACATTGACCAAGGAAGGATAGCAACGATTTAGATCATAAAGGCCTTGGGGCTATGTTTGTTTGATGAATTAAACACAATATATCGCATTCCACTATGCGGTTGTACCGTCTATCTGAAGCTCTTAATATGATTGCTCATATTCAAAGCCATCTTTTTCCCGCCCCTGCTTTTGGATCATTTTCATCAACCGGCCCCCCATTCCAAACTATATTGATAGCTGGCGTAGTGATCTGTGAAACAATCCCAAATACATTCATTTGTTTACATTGCGGCTAGTGCTAAACCTTACAGGAAAAAAAACGCCTTTCATTTTTTAAGCGGTAAGTGGAAAGGGGCTGGCTACAGTGAGGTGAATTGAGCCCAACATAATTAGAGCCTTTTTTTCTGACTGTGTTGCTGTGGCATTCGGCACTCACAGAGAAGGAAAGAATAAAACGGAAGAGGATCAATAAACACAAACACAGATATAGTTGCATTAGTAATTATATTTTGTTGTTAACAATCAATAAAAGAGGAAACATTACCCTTGGCACACAAGCAGTCAATGTGGTAGCTCCAACGAGTACAAGTCTTCTCACATCATAATATAGGCAGCTGTAATGAACGCACCACAATTTCCCCATACATTACCAACACACCCACATATGTTCCAGATGTCGAAAGTGTCATTAATCTCGTGACCTCTTTAGGTGTAAGTTCATACCCTGTCAGGATA